CACAGACACTGGGAAAATTGAAAGACTCTCAATCTCAACAACTGACCAGCTCATAGGAATAAATTATTTGTCCCTGACTGCTTTACAGCTCTAAATTTAGGGGAATATGCTAAACCTTTATTTCAGTATAATTGTCCACACTAGGGAGTTGCACCATTTTACCCATATCTATTTCTAAAGCAGGACAAAAACTGTGTAGAACAAGTTTCAGAGTAGCAGCCGTGTTAGTCTGTATTCGCAAAAAGAAAAAGAGTACTTGTGGCACCTTAGAGACTAACCAATTTATTTGAGCATAAGCTTTCGTGCATCCGATGAAGTGAGCTGTAGCTCATGAAAGCTTATGCTCAAATAAATTGGTTAGTCTCTAAGGTACCACAAGTCCTCCTGTTCTTTTTGTGTAGAACAAGTTGCACTCTCCTGTGTCAAAATTTTTTTAAACCAGATCTCCTCCGGTGTGACTTCTTTCTTCATAATGGAATATCCTCAAACTGACTCCACCTCTGTTGTAACATTTTCCTGTTTGAAAATTTCAGGGCAAGATAGGGGGTATAACTGTGGTGGATGATGGAGACTTGCCCCAGTTTCAGCCACCAGTGTAGCTGCACTGGTTCAAACCCTTAGTACAGGCAGGGTAAGCTGTGATTTGCATTAGGCTAGAATTGGAGCAAATACCCAGGACAGTCATTAAAATGAATAGAAGATGTGTGGCTATGTTTCCTGTGCTTGTTTGAAAACTGGTTTATCCTGAGGTTTCTTAATAGCAAGGATGGTGTGTGTGTGTGGGTGAGAGAGAGAGAGTATGTGTGTGTGATACCTAATCTCATACTGATTGTTGGGACGATTTATACATTTGTACAGAGTAATTTACACTGGTAGCATTGGAAGGAGAATGGTTCCCTTATGTGCTATTTTTAGGCTGGCACTTCATAACTACAGCTGCATTTTCTTCATTAAAAAACACCCAATTCAGAGATGACAGGCAAATGTGCATCATTTGCGGCCCTATTATAGAATCAGATCTGAAGCTATTTAGAAAAGCTGGACGAGCACAAGTCCATGGGGCCGGATGTGCTGCATCCGAGAATGCTAAAGGAGTTGGCGGATGTGATTGCAGAGCCATTGGCCATTATCTTTGAAAACTCATGGCAATTGGGGGCGGTCCCGGACGACTGGAAAAAGGCTAATGTAGTGCCCATCTTTAAAAAAAGGGAAGAAGGACAATCCTGGAAACTACAGGCCAGTCAGCCTCACCTCAGTCCCTGGAAAAATCATGGAACAGGTCCTCAAGGAATCAATTCTGAAGCACTTAGAGGAGAGGAAAGTGATCAGGAACAGCCAGCATGGATTCACCAAGGCAAGTCATGCCTGACTAATCTAATTGCCTTCTATGATGAGATAACTGGCTCTGTGGATGAGGGGAAAGCAGTGCATGTGTTATTCCTTGACTTTAGCAAAGCTTTTGATACAGTCTTCCACAATATTCTTGCCAGCAAGTTTAAGAAGTATGGGCTGGATGAATGGACTATAAGGTGGATAGAAAGCTGGCTAGATCGTCGGGCTCAACAGGTAGTGATCAATGGCTCCATGTCTAGTTGGCAGCCGGTATCAAGCGGAGTGCCCCAAGGGTCGGTCCTGGGGCCAGTTTTGTTCAATATCTTCATTAATGATCTGGAGGATGGCGTGGATTGCACCCTCAGCAAGTTTGCAGATGACACTAAACTGGAGGGAGAGGTAGATACACTGGAGGGTAGGGATAGGATACAGAGGGACCTAGACAAATTGGAGGATTGGGCCAAAAGAAATCTGATGAGGTTCAAGAAGGACAAGTGCAGAGTCCTGCACTTGGGATGGAAGAATCCCATGCACTGCTACAGACTAGGGACCGAGTGGCTAGGCAGCAGTTCTGCAGAAAAGGACCTAAGGGGTTACAGTGAACGAGAAGCTGAATATGAGTCAACATGTGCCCTTGTTGCCAAGAAGGCTAACGGCATTTTGGGCTGTATAAGTAGGGGTATTGCCAGCAGATCGAGGGACGTGACTGTTCCCCTCCATTCGGCACTGGTGAGGCCTCATCTGGAGTACTGTGTCCAGTTTTGGGCCCCACACTACAAGAAGGATGTGAAAAAGCGTCCAGCGGAGGGCAACAAAAATGATTAGGGGACTGAACACATGACTTATGAGGAGAGGCTGAGGGAACTGGGATTGTTTAGTCTGCAGAAGAGAAGAATGGGGAGGATTTGATAGCTGCTTTCAACTACTTGAAAGGGGGTTCCAAAGAGGATGGATCTAGACTATTCTCAGTGGTAGCAGATGACAGAACAAGGAGTAATGGTCTCAAGTTGCAGTGGGGGAGGTTTAGGTTGGATATTACGAAAAACTTTTTCACTAGGAGGGTGGTGAAGCACTGGAATGCGTTACCTAGGGAGGCGGTGGAATCTCCTTCCTTTGAGGTTTTTAAGGCCAGGCTTGACAAAGCCCTGGCTGGGATGATTTAGTTGGGGATTGGTCCTGCTTTGAGCAGGGGGTTGGACTAAATGAACTCCTGAGGTCCCTTCCAACCCTGATATTCTATGATTCTATGAAAGGTGTTAGTGTGCTCAGAGAGGCTTGCCAGGCTGAACAAACACTGCACTGGGAAAGTGAGCTTTGCAGTGAGGTTGGGGAGAGTTTGTGAGCTCCGAAAAAACGGGTCCAAAGGGGTTCAAATAAATGAATCATTGGACAAAAGTCCAAGGTGAGCCTAACTTTAAGTAAATCTATATTAAGTCTAGTAGAAATCTCAGATGATATAATTTCCCCTTATTTCTGACCTCCTACCCTAAATATACATTAAACAACCTCACTCTCCGGCCCCATCTACACTAAGGGACTTCACACCAGAGTAGCTGTACTGATGTAAGTAAATGGTACAGCTGAATTGATACCAACCTGTAAACTCCATTATGTACTATGCTGGCCTAAAAGAGGGTTTACCCCAAATCAATTTATTTTCTGGATTAAGCTGCATAGGTGTAAAATCCATTTTACACTGGTGCAATGCATTTACATTAGGGGTTAAATTTCCTCAGTGTAGACGTGCCTCAGACTCTTACCACTGTGCAACTTACACACCCAACCCTTTGCCTATCATCTCTGAACTGGGGCCACTAAGAGCCTGATCCACTACTGCATTATCCCTATTTTACATCTGTGATTTCAGTGGTGTTATACTGATATAAAACTGGACCAACGCAAAGATGAATTGGGCCCTCAGAGTCAAAGCTGATGTTCATTGCCACCCCTCACACAACAAGGTTCCAGAAGAAAGGAGGGTTGCAAGACAAGCAATTAACAAGAGAGTGTAAGAATGCATGAGTTACAGTCAGTTATTCTCTGCTTTACTTTGTCTTCCATCTCCTTGGCATGTAAATTACTCCCTTTCAGTCACATATCATTATGTGAGTGTAAATACATCTGAGAAAGTCTGCATCTAGGAAAATTGGAATACAATTTACACCACCTTAAACAACACTACTGAATTTGCCCCATTGTCGTTTTCCCCGCCTCCCCACCCCCTTTTCCTTTACAAATAGTTATAACAGTTTGCTTGAATTTGGTACTTGGGCTAGGGAAGGAATTGTAGCCTTGGCTAGAGCATGGTATGAGAGAGACCAGGGCTGGGCAGGTTTCCTCTATGCAGGCCTGCCATGGACATCACTCCTGATTTGAAGTATCCTCTCCTATTCCTTGGCCCTTCCCTGTAACTCTGCTAATCGATTAAATCTGAGCTGGATTCTCTTCTCATGTATGTCAATTTTACCCCAGTGTAACTCCACTCACTTCATTGAAGTTGCTCCTCGCTTACATACGTGTACACGAGAGAAGAATTAGAGCCACAATCTGTCTCTGATGAAGTGAGCTGTAGCTCACGAAAGCTCATGCTCAAATAAATTGGTTAGTCTCTAAGGTGCCACAAGTACTCCTTTTCTTTTTGCGAATACAGACTAACACGGCTGTTACTCTGAAACCAATCTATCTCTGTGTCCATCACGGATTTCTAGGCACTAAATAGAAAATTGAGACGCAAACGAATATTTGTATCACGCATTGATCATCTCTTAGTATCCACATCCCACTACTACTTCCCTCTGTCCTGATCCGTAGCAACCCCCTGATATTTCAATCCTGTGTGATCTCAGTGCACCTTAGTCTTGACCTGAAGGGTGGTGATGGACCATCCTACAACTCTGACAGTATACCTCATTTTTCTTTACCTGTATACCCCCATTTGTTTCCATTCTGGGTCTCTCCTGAGTAGAATCTTTCAGTGATGCCAGATTCAGTGTATTTTGTAGTATGGACCAGCATCATCAAGGAGGCAACTATCAAATACCTTTTCACTTCACGAATGGTGACTCCTTTAGACACTTTCCACCCAAATACACCCTGACTGATGCATTTCATTATTATTTTATTTATTATTATTTATTTGTATTGTGGGAGTGCCTAGGAGCCCCAATCATGGATGAGGACCCCTTTGTATTAGGTGCTGTACAGACACGGAACAAAAAGATGGTCTCTGTTTCAAAGAGCTCACACTCTAAGTATTTTATTTTAGTGTTCTCTATAAATGAGCAATGCCTGTGAATCACAGTGGCAAAATGTTCCTTCAGTGAATATGCCTCACTCCCTGTATTATGCATCCAAGGAATGCAGCACACATCACCACAGAGCTGGCTTTTAGCTGAGCTATATTTTAGCGTATGCCCATGCGCATTGCAGAGAAAAAACCTACAGAACAACCATTTAATAGTGTTCTTTCATAAAGTTGCTCCTGTCTGTTTATTTGACTTTAAAAAAATAGTCCTTCTAACAAATGGAACTTGAATACAAAAATGTAATGACATTTACTCTCTCAGCTGCCAGCAAACTCACATGCACCATGAGTCATTCCAGATGTGGATAAAAACAAAGTGTGCCTATGAAAGCAAGTTCACTGATCCCTAGGAGAGTTGGTTTAGGGGAAGAGCTGCTACATTGACTTCAGTTGCACTCAGGAGAACAGACAGGTTCTTCCTTTGGGTTGGGGAGGCAGCTGTCTCCTCCTGAAAAGGAAGCCAGGAAGCAAATAGCTAATATATAGATATAGAGAGAGATTTTAAAGTAAAGGATGCATTGGAAGACTTTGCTACTGCTGCTTTTCTGTTACAATGCTCATGCCACTGTGAGTCCGAGGTGGAACAGAGGTAAGATTTAAATATTACAAACAAATAACCATTGATGGGAGAAAGCTGAAATTACAGAATGGTTCTGTTATTTTTTTTTCTTTTGTCACTCCCAGCTCTTGATTTTTTTATTCCCATTCACAGCAGGTTAATTTAAAAAAAAATCTTCTCACTTTCTTCTCCCTTCTATTAAAATAAAACTAGAGGCATCTTTTTCTGGACATGAAATCCAGACCAAAAGCATTGCCATCCACAAAGGGCATGATTCTATCTTCTCTCCTGGGCAGGTCTTAGGGGTTTAAAAAGAAGAAGCTACATGGGTCAAAACTTAAAATACCTGCAGGATACAGGGCACCTAAATAATAGGAACTCTGAGACTGCGGGACTAGCATGTTTCTTATACAGAAAGCTGTCAGTATGAAGCTACATGGAATTACCTATGTATATTTATACTTTTTTTCAGTGACTTACAAAGTAAAAAGAAAAGGAGGACTTGTGGCACCTTAGAGACTAACAAATTTATTTGAGCATAAGCTTTCGTGAGCTACAGCTTTGTATGTCCAGCCAATTCAGGAATTACCCTGTGTGGCCCCATCCAGTATCTTTACTAATTATTTTTTAAAAACTTTCTCTTTTTCTTTATTCTCGCCACTGGAATTTGGTTGTGGTTCTGTGACTGCTTTGGTAGCATGGTCTGGAATGGGGAAAGGAAACACCTCCTAATGGAATTTTTTGGGACTGAACCTAAACCCACAGACTTTTCAAAGGAACTTTGGCACCAATGAAGTACAAGTTCAATTTATTATTCAGTCTCCTCTCCTCCTTCTGTGGGCTTGAGTCCTTTCTAACTGCGTCTGTGCTTTATAACAAGAGTTGGATTTTTGAAGGAGCATCAGTGACTGAAGTTGGATGACACTTTAACTCTTCTCTATGAGGCAGCGTTGCCTAGTGGCTAGCGCACTGGGCTGAGACTTAGAAGACATGGGCTCTAGTCCCAGCTCTGTTACTGGCTGCAGGGCATTGAGTAAGTCTCTTCTGCTCTCTGCCTTAGTTTCCCCATCAGTAAAACGGGGATAGTGATATTGGTATCCTTTGTAAAAAGTGCTTACAGATATACCAGTGAACAGCACTGTACAAGGCATTAGCTCATCTGTGTGTCACGCTGATAAGAAGGGGGTAAAAGGGAAATAACAATTATGCATTGCTCTTTGAAATAAATCCTACCTCTGGGTGTATCGGGGCAGGGAAGTTAGGCATCTTGTCAGGACCAATGTCTTTGAAGTAGAGAGGACAAAAAGAAGTCCATCCATTGGTCATGAAATTACTGAGATACATTTAATGCCCTTCTTTGTTTTTATTGATTCATTTGCTTTAATTTATCGAATTCATGTAATTACTAAAGTCCAAGGATCATGAACAAAATGTGGAGGGAAAAAGAAGAGGGCCCTGTTCTTCCCCTAGTAGCTTTTAGAGAGTGGTAATGCTGAGAGTTTCAACTCCATTTTCTGGCAGATTTTTGGGGCAAGCGTAAGGGTGGCACTTCCTGGTGAGCACTGCAGAAAAGAAGTAGGAGATCCAACTCCCACCTGCTGGTGTAGGGGTATCAGCTGGAGGCAAGGGGCTTCAATGGGGATGACCTGCTGACTGTTCACTGGCACCTGGCCCTCTCAGCTGCAGGAGCTGTTTCCAGGTGCTCTTGCTACCATAGCTGCCCCAGGAATTCCTGCCCTCTCCCACACTCCCCCATGAAATACCAACATGGCAGCCCCTCCCTTAGCAGAAACCTGAGAACAGAGTGTTGAGCCTTACATCTTGCCCTAAAGGTCAACAGACTTGGGCTCTGTTAAAGCAGTGGGGGAACCCAGTTTCAGTCAGGGGCCTTCCAATGAGAACATCCTGTCCTCAGTCCGAGATCGGTAAACCTGGACACTGCTAGCTTGAACACCATCAGCTGTTAAACTCAATGGCCATGACTATGAATGAGGGCAGGGGGTTGGGGTGAGAGCTATCTCAGATGGCCAGGACCCAAACCATTCAGCAAAGCCAATAACCTGCATGGCATCTGGAAGTGAACAGAATGATGGAATATGCGAGTTGCGGTTAATACCTCTTCACAGAGAAGCAGGCACCTTCCAGCATCTCCTGTAGCTTTCTAGTAGTCTTCCAGGGTGCCCCATGGTGAAGCCCATTTTGCAATCTAGTCTCAAAGGGACAAAGGCATGAATTACAGTAGCAAAATCCTGATGTGAGAGAAATAGTTGCAACCAGATGTAGAGAGGGGAGGGAAAAACCCCCTTGGCCACCAATCTCTGTTTGGGTGTAGGAGCATCTGGGAGTCCAAAGGCAACCCTAATTTATTAATCTCTTGAAAATGTATGGGGAAATTTGTATCAAACATGAGGACAGGACACATCCTTACTATACACTCAGAATCCTTCTCTCAACCCACAAGCATCACCTCAGTCTTTTCTGGGTGAAACCTCAGCCATCTAACTCTCATCCAAGTCCTGATCTAGGCTTGGCACTGGGTATGCAAAGGCAGCACAGCACCTGGATCTGATGAAAACCTAGAGCTGCATATCATCTGCAAACTGACCAGTAGCACAAATTATTTAAAGCAAACACTACCTCACAAAACAAAAAGTCCCTCGTTAGTTTATAGTTGGCCTTTGCAGTAAAGATAAACGTTGGAGGTTTGGGTAAAACAGGACCTGGATCAGAATCCCACTGTCAAGGATTTGGCCCATCTCTGCTCCAAGATAGTGATGGGCGAAGATGAGAGACATTTAGTTAAATCTCTGAACTTTGAGAGATCTTATAAATGGAACCTAGGATCTGAATCACACTGTAACAGAGCACTGGACCTTAGGTGCATGTGCACACCCAAATGAACCTGTTACAGCCTCTAAGCTCTTGTGAGCACATGACCTGCAGGAACCCAAATCTAAATCTTTCTTCCCCTGCAACAGGGAAGTAGCGAGGAGAGACTCAGGGAAGCCTTAGGGTGGGTCTCTCCATAGTACTCAGGAATGGCTATCAAAGGGAGATATCATCTCCTCTCCCCTCCCAGCTGTGGTGGAAACTGGGTAAGCCTTAGGAGGTTAGTACTCAGTATCTTGAATTTATTTGCTCTTGTTTTGTAGTGCTTGTTTGAAAATAAAGCCAGACCTGAGGAAAGGGTCTTGGGCTGAATGGGTCTTGGTTGGGAGCTTTATTCTACTTCCCCCTCCTGGTGAGTTTGATCACTGGTTGGTGTGCACCATTCTAGTCTGGACTTTGCCAAAAACCTTTCCTTTCTTCTTTCTCATCCCTATTCTACAGTCATTTTTGTAGCGCCATATAGAATATCACACCCACTCTGCCTCATGTACCTGCCCAAATCCAAGTGTGAGATGGGGAACCTTACAATGCAGGACAAAGATTGACTAGAAGTGACACTCAGAACAGCCCAGTGAGGAGCTTGAATGGAGATGAGGCATATTTCTTTTACACATCTGAAGTTTTCTATAGCCTCAATTCCACTGCCTGGCATTTCTGATTTCACTAATTTACTCTGAGAAACAGCAAGATAATAACAGGTCTTTTGCAGCAAATGTAATTTTGGATCCATAATGAGTGATTCCCCCCCGTCATAAGGTACAAATAAGAGGTGTGATTATTACAGATGAGCTTGAACCAGAACTCTAGAGCTTCATAGATGTGCAAAGTGGCAGCTTCCAGTAACTAAGGAAACCATGGGCCAAATTCTGTTTTTTTTTCCTGTCTATAAACCAGTATAAATCTGGGCTAACTCCATTGACTTCAGTGTAGCTGAGAGCAGAATTTAGCTCATTATCTGTATTCTTGGAATTACTTGGTTTTATAGTAAAAACCCTAAAGCCAGATTTGTTTACACATTTCAATTCAGTTAGTTTATATATTAGCTTTCAGAGCTTCCTGATCAGAATCAAACATCACACAGCCAATGAGGTGTGTTTGTAGTGTGGTCCTCTGGTTGGTGAAGATTCAATATGATTCCTCAGGGGTGAGCTTCCTTGGACAGTGAGGAAGCAATTGTGTCTGTAATTTCACCCACCATTGAAGGCTGGGGAAGGAGGAATGGAAAGTGTAAGGTTGGAAGAAAGTCAAGGTTTTCTCACTTGGTCCATACACATTGCTATAAATCTCTCCTCCCACTCTCTGCAAAAGTGGATCATCTACAATTCCATAAAGCTATGGATGTATTTATTCCCTGGATACATTTCTTGTGTTTGCCCCTGGGGAGAAAGGATCCCCGTCTATCTTGATTTCCCCAGAACAGTCCTAATTCTTAGTGTTTCATCTAGTGTTCTGGCAATATAGGTATTGAACCTGAGTGAATGGCCATTGTTCAAGTCACTCCCATTTTGAGTTACATTCTGCCGCCTATAGTGTTGCCACAGCTGCAGACAACTGGTCACTTTCTGGAGCCAAGTGGGAGGGGGAAGTGTGTCTATGCCCAGCCAGCCATTTCACGCTGGAGGTAGGGTTTAATTCTTCATCTGATCCATGACCGGAGGCCCATGCCAGGTCCATGGTGGTCCTGCCACATGTCTATGTATTCTATCCTGGCAAGGGTACAAGGTGAATCACCAAAACTTTTTATATTACTCTCCTCTTTCCCACCCTGCCCCATATTGCAAATGAAACTTTGCCCACCTCCTTTTTGCAGCAGCCTCTAGGATTCCACTGCTGACAGTAATACTCATCACTTCTGACTTGGATGGTGCAAGCAAAGAGAATCTGGCTTGAATACAACATGTAATTACCACACAAATGGACATACACACCCAGCAGCCCCACGTGTACTGGGTCATGGCTTTGGCTTGTATAGAACATGATGATGATGATCGTAAAAGGTCTGGCCCAAGAATCAAAACAAATCACACCAGTTGGCCTTGGAACAAGAGCTTTTTAAATGCAGTGTCCTTTTCACTTGCTCTGATTTCCATAGAGTAGTTATCTGATTCATAAAAAATGTATACAAAACTATGAAGGATTTG